ATAATAGACAAAATTTCATTAAAACTAGATTTTTATAAGTCCACCTTTAAAAATATTTACTGAGTTCTTTACTATTTGAAAAGCATCTGAGTTAGATCAGAGGACATGAAGATATGTAAAATACCTACCTGACTTCATGTTACACATATGGTTTGAGTGATTATAATTTCCAAGGGCTGAAATTATGTTTTCTATTGTATATACCTACAACATTGCCTCTATTTAATAAGAATTCAGTATTATTATTGCTAAGATCAAAACCATAGTAGAATGTTATAATGCTAACATAATTTGTTCACATTAATTGAAAAAGTTACCCGTTTAATTGTTTATTTCTAAATCTTGGGGAAAAACAGTTTTAAGAATAGATGTAGATCATGTCTTAGAAACAGATTGCCCACAATCTTAATATATGAAACCCATTGTTCCAAGAATAATATCTGCCCAAGAGAAAACTTTAATGGCAGAACTATTATTAGAACACCTTCTTATTGGATCTGTTAAAAAAGGGAATTATGGTTCCCATGGGATAGAATCACTAAAGGGAAGAATACACAAATAATACTGTTCTTGAAAGTTTTATATTTTAAACATGAAAATAAATGCCATCAGTTTGTTGCTTAGTTTTCCTTCTCAGAAAGGTAGTAAAACCACTAACAACTAGGGTTCAACTAGCCTGAACATTTTATTAATCATATTGTCCCCCTGCAATGCACCTTTTAAAGGAACAAGAAAAATACAAAGAAACTAATTGGCACAGGTCAATTGAAAAAAAAAAAAAAGTTTTCCCAGGGTAACTTTAGGGGTTGAGAGTCATTCAGACAAACCAAAATGTCCTCATCATTTAAGATGCTAATAATTTTTCATAAATGGGTATTAATTATCTCACACAAAATGGAGAGTATAAGGAAAGGTGGTATTTGTAGGAAAGGCAGCAATATCCAGACATTGAGAAATCGTCTGTCCGATGTAATCAGGACTGGGGTGGGTCAATCAATTGAGAAAAACTCCATTAAAGTGGGAAATTATATTTACACATATATAAAATTCTAGATATAGAATTATATAAATATTTAAGATGTCTAGTTTTATATAGAGAATTATATATATAATTCTGTATCTAATATATTCTGTATATAATTCCCTCTCATATAAAACTAGACACCTTAAATATTTGAACTTAAAATATATAAGTATAAAGGCTTTTCTTTGAATATAGTCACTAGTTGAAGTTCCAAGTTGTCTAACTTGCATCAACCATATGTGGAATCCTTCAGGATGACCAGTTTTGGTTTCTTTAAAGTGGTTGAAAACTTGAAGATTGTCCTGAAGCAATCTGATCTCAGCATCTATTCGATCTTTTATTTCTGTTCTTCCAAATCAGCTACAGTTTTCGCTCTAACACCTTTATCATGTCAAAGCTTTCAACTTATTTATAGTCATGTTTTATTGTTTTACATAATTTTCAATTTAATATGATTTATAATAACCACAACAGCAAAAAGAAGTTGGAAATAAACAAAACCGACTCCTGAGAAACATATAAAGTTCCACTAATGGGAGTGCCCCAAGAACAAGCACGTCTTACCAGGTGTGAGCCCACAGATGTTCTGGGCATCTGTGAGTCGCTTTTTTTAAAATGAGAGGAGAGCATGGGTCTGGCAATCCAGTTTAGTGGAAGTTGGTTAGGGAAGTTTCTACTGTATGTCAATTCTTGTTGCTATCAGCATTCCTACAGAAGAAATTAGGGGATTCTCATCTTTAACACTTAGCAAAAAGATTATTTCTGAAAGACCAGTTTGCCTCAAATTCACAAACCTATTATTTTACATGTACTTTCATATAATTGTCATTAGTATGCATGCATTTTGAAGCTTCTCAACTTATTACTAAAGCAGCAAGTTTCTTTCAACCAAATTTGAAAGTATCAGTATCTGTTACCTATGATCACGTATCACCTGATTACTAGAGCACCTCTTGGAGCTATGATCTTTAGACTCACTATTCTTCTTTTCATGTGACTTGGCATTTCCTCCCTCGAGTCTTAAACCCATGCAGTAGAAATGCTCCAGAGCTTTTAGTATCTCCCTCAGTGGTCTCACTAATACTATGTACCAGTATAATTTCACAGTGAACATGGCCCTATATTCTTTTCCAATATCCTTGGAGAACATTATTCAGTTTATTTTGATAAACCTCAGCCAGACTTCCCAGTGATGCTTTTAATAAATATTTCCATGACTACTACTCAACTCAAATCTTTTTGTTGATCTCATAATGTAGTTTGAGGCTTCTGTTGAACTTAAGCCTTTATATTTCAACCCTGATCGTTACCTTTATCTCTGGGATGGGTATCCATAATTACTCTGTGACCTTCACTTTCGGATTTCTTTTGAAAGTAGCTTTGCTTAATTTTGAAGTTGCTCCCAAAAGATGGCAAGAAATACAGTGCCAGTTCCTTAAACTCTGGTGCTGTCAACTCTTCAGGGACTGCTCTTTCATTGATTCGTATTTGTACTTGACTTGGTGCTGTACTATTTTTGAGCTAGTTATGGATTGCTGTTAGGGAAACCAAGCAATCAAAAGTCAAGTGTTTATTTTATCTGTATAACCATTCTAGAGATGCCCTGAACTCTAAGGAAGTGGTAAAGGTCAGGCTCTACATGATTTGCTTAGCAATAGATGTTCAGAAGTTCGATATACTTGGGTTTCTAAGGTAGTTAATATTAAAACCCACTTAAAACCAATGCCTTTTAGCTATGAACAGTAAGATAGGCTGCATTTTAAGTTGACTTTATATCAGTATTCTAACATTTAAGAATGACACTGCACATCTTAATATTCACTTTTAAGACTGTAGATAAACTTATGAATGCTTACAATAATTACTTAAATTTAATCAAGTAGTCACTACCATCATTGCCAACATCAGTGAGAAGAGAGTTGTTTCTGTTAACGCTTCTGCATAGTACATGTGAAGGGCCTATACTGACTCAAATATCACATATTCAAGATTGTCCGACCATCTCCAGGCAACCTTTAACATCAAGTGGACTCTGTCAAGCAATTCCCCTCCCCCTTCGACCTCTGGGAAGAAGACAGCGTAAAACTGAGAGAAGCTGGAGTGCTTTCTTTCATTATGAAAGCTCCGGATTAAGGCATGTCTTGTAGTTGCTTAGAAGATGGTTTATTGTGGCAGGTGGAGGTGAACGGGAAATCTATATATACATACATAAGTGTTCAGCTCAGACAAAGAGAGGCCAGCAGAATAAAGAGTCGAGTAAATTTCCTCCCCTCACCGCCCAGCCCCCACCCGCCTGGAAGAACGCGGAGGGGCGATTTAGAGCTACAGGCTTTTGTCTACACACGCGCCAGCGAAAAAAGCTTACAGATCTCTCTTCCAGAACGGTTTATCGTCTTTTCATCCGTTTCCCAATATTCTGAGAGGGATGGGAAGACTAAACTGTCACTGTGGCTTTATTTCAGCCGTACGCAATCGCACAATGGGAGATCTAATTTAAATATCACAAGGCATTCCGTACCCTTTCCTGCGTAGAGAGCAGCTCGTCACACACGAGTGTTGCGAAAACCCAAATACGGTCCGACCCAGACTGAAGCAGGCAGCGCGCTCCAGCACCTCCGAGAGCGCGCAGCCCGCCGCCCCGCCCCCAGGGACGCCCCGCCCTAAGGGGAGGGAGCGGGTCCCGCCCCTCTCCCCGTCCCTCACGTAACCCGGATACACACCCTTGCTACCCTTTCACCTCGCGGCAGTTGGCTAACGTGGAAGCCGGACTCGCCGGCCGGCCTAGGAGCCGGGGATAGCGCGTGGCGGCGACAGTGGTCTTCCCGGCGGGGCTCGGCCCTTCGCGGGAGGGAGTGATGGGGAGCGCGGGCGCCGGAGAGCGGGCGCCGGTGTAGCCCGCGCGACACCTGGCTCGGAGCGCGGCGGAGGCGGGGAGGCCTGTGAGGGCCGCCGCCCCGAGAGCCCGGCCTTCGGCGCCATGGCCCCCATGGGCATCCGCCCGTCC